CATTTTATCATTTATGGATTTCGTTCACTTGATTGTTTTTTGCTCCCTAAAAAAAAAAAAAAAAAAAAAAGGGTGAAATTGTGAAGAGGTTTTATTCGTATTAAATGATGTTCCTTTATGTGTCATATAAATGTAATGTTTTTGGAATCATTGTCAAGGTGTTTTTCTGTGCAGCTGGAAATGGTGTACAAACTAATGAACCAAGATGTGTCTACTGAAGTAAGTTTCCAGGGTTGCTGAACTTCCCCAGACAGTTTTGGGAACTTGCTGTTTTTCCCGTGGCCTTCCCTGCATGGAGACAGAGTGTTTAGTTTTCACCTCCCATAGACATTACAGTGAATAAGCATACAAGGTTTCGTATGTTTTCCTTTGTTTCTTTTGTTTGGTCTTCGAAGATCGAGTCTCCGCCTCGGTAGTAAAGAGAGATGAATAAAGTAACTATGCAACTCTGGGTTCCTCAGAGCGGATCCTAATTTGTGCCTAATGCAGTATATTTCTTGCTCTCCGTCTGCAGATGTATTAAAGATTGTTTTTGCTCCCTAACTTTTGTCTGGATCTCAGTCTCTGAATTGTGCACTTCACATCCATCACAGTGGACCTATGGGGTGAAGATACCAAACACCTGAGTGGGATATCAAGTGGAGATGTGGTCCTGGTCAACAACCTAAAGACAAACCGCTTTAAAGACACAGTTTCTTTAAACTCCACCAACTCCAGCAGAATCACCAAGGTCAGTGTGAAATGAACATTTCAGAGTTTCTGAATGTTAATGGCTTTGAAGAGCTGCAGACATCCTGATACTTTCTGTTTCTTTGGGCTTTGATTTTATTGAGTTTTTCCTGTTTTGGTTCCTTTGGTTTGTATATTTTGATTCTGTTGGTTTTCAGTCGTTTCAGTTTAATCAGATCATCTCACAGCTGTAATGTGTTCAGTTCATTAGACTCGCCTGTTCCTCTTCAGAGATCTGTCTGCCTCGGTTTTGTTCACGTTTCTAATAAATCCTCTTACACAATTGACCTACCATCTAATGACCTTTGACCTGTCATCATAAGTCTCATATTTTATAAAAATTCGTGCGTTCAGGCCACCAACCATATGTTAGAAGATGCTTAAAGTTGACAGGAAATGTGACCAGGTAATCAACTGGAGCATTGATAATACAAACACCAAATACTGAGTCTTTAAACGAGACAAAGAAAGGATTTAAAGCCTGTCAGCAGCTTTTCTCACGGCTCCCTGCGAGGAATGTCCAGATTCCTCAGGTTTGACAAACCGGTGTGGCGAGATCATAACTCTGAGGTTTGTCTTTTGGTTTGTTACAGAGCGAACGATGATTCATGAGTAAAACGTCTCTGTTCGCCTGCAGGCGTTTGACAGGCTGAACATGAAACCTGAACGCAGCACCTCATTTAATCACGACTTCGTCCATCTGCTGAACATAAACCCAAAGAGTTTATATTGTTTAGTCGCCTGTGATGAGTTGATCCTGATCCTAATAATCAGTGGTTTACCACAGCCTCAGTTTATTGTAATCTGAAGATGTTTGGTGTTAATGTTGATGTTTCGGTGAACTCTGGATGACCTCTGTCACTGAAGGTCTAGAGAAACAGAAATTTGGCATCAAGTTGACTTCAGTTCAGATGATTTACATCAAAAATGTCATAAGAACATCAGACATTCACCAACCAGTAACAAACTGGTGGGTGTCCAGTTCAGGGTTAAAGGAACTCTGTGTTTCTGCTGTGGTTCAGTTTTCTAGAAGTTTGTTCCTGATTTGTGCTGAATGCAGCTTCTCCTTGCCTGGTTCTGGTTCTGGTTCTGATTCTGACTCTGACTGGGACCAGGAGGAACATCAGCCCAATTCTGAAGTTCTTCCTCTGAGAGGAAAAACTTCAATGAGGCAGTGAAGCTGATTCACGTCTCACTGGAGCCCAACAGAACAGTTCTTTAGATTCATCTTCAGGAATTAAAGTCTTTTATTTTGAAAACCTGGTGACTCTTTTCCCTCTGAACCACTGAAGGCTGAACTCTGTTAAACACTCCCAGCTGCTGCTGTTGTTAAAACATTCTGGGTATTTATTGCTTTGTTTTCACGCAGCAGAACAAAAATATTTAATGAAGGCGAGATTCTGCTGTGGGAATAAAACTCCAGCCTGAGGTTGAATCAAACTAACCAGAGAGAAAATCTCGGTTCTGCATCGAGTTTCTGACCAAAGCTTCTGGAGAAACTTCTACTGAATCTGTTTTCAGCTTCCAGACTTTCCTTTTTGTTGTTGGTTTCATCAACAATGAGCAAAGAGGTGAGTTTTACAGCTGGACCAGTCGAAACACTGGTCATTTCTACTGGTTCTGGTGGTTTTACTGGTTTCAGATTCATTTTTCTCTCTGAGACTTTGCTGATCTGTTTCTGTCCTCTGTGTTTTTCTGAATGATTAACATTAAACTGGATAAAATGAGACATTTTAAAGGCATGGAAATAAGAGTGTAATTAATAATCGATCAATCTGAAGCCATCGTTGGTTTTCAAACAGCTCAGGTAGAAATCAATGAGCTGATCAGCCTGATCAACCAGTTAAAGTTTCATTTAAACGACCAACTGATGCAGCAGAATCATCTGAACTACAGAGTATAAATTGGTACAGACGGATTTATTAGTAAGACACAAATAATTATCAGATGGGATCAAAGTTATGCTGATGATTCTCTGCTGTCCTTAAATCCTGGTGAATTCAGTCGGTTCAGTCGTAGAAAAATCTCATGCTGAAAACCTGCTTCATCCTTCAGTTCTCAGTTTCCTGAAACCTTCCAGATAAAAACCTTCCTCTGGCCGGGGTCATCAGAGCTGCTCCTGTAGTCACCCCTGCTATAGAGGAGCAGCCGTCAGTTTTATAGTTAGGGTTTCATTTCATTCACAGTTCACCAATCCAGATACTAAACTAAGAAAACGTCTCATTTTTTCCTTTTGCCGCTGATCATTCTGGTGTTTGTGTTCAGGTGACCAAACTTGAAAAGCAATGGGGGAAAAAACTGAGCTCCATCCTGGAGGAACTGACGGATTATCAGTACAAGCGGATGCTGACGTATCTAAACAAAATCCCCGAGCAAACGAAGAGCAGGACAGCCAGAGGGAAAATGGCTCAAGTCATCATCCAGGACTACGGGCTGGAGAAGTCCATCGATGAAATCAACAACATCGTGGCCCGTATCTGCAAGAGGGACCGGAAGATCCGGGGCCTGTTGGAGCCCATGCTGAAGAAATTCAAAGCTCTGAGGGAACAGCAGACGGGAAACGGTGAGTTCAGACAAACAAGGGATTTTACCTCAGTAAATAAAAGCTATCAGTTAGCAAAGCATGGCAGCAGATACTGATGGCTGATAAACCCGCTGTGGGCCCGGTTCTCCTGGTTCCCCTCATCAGACAGCAGGATGGAGAAGGACAACGATCAGAAACAGGTTTTCACACTTCCTGCTCACATAGTTACAACTCCTGCTGTCAAAATATAAACTTAAACCCAATAAATGAGAAAAACGTCAATGGAGGGAACAAACATTTGCAACCAAATGCAAATGTTGCATTTTCATTACTGACATTCAGCCTAACAAGCTCAACAGATTTCTAACCACTGACCTGTTTGATCAGGGAAACACATGAAACAAGAATGAAGAAACCTTTTTTTGATATTTCAGAGCGGAGATCAGGTGGAGCTGCAGGTGGAGCTGCAGGTGCAGGTGGAGCTGCAGGTGGAGAAAACATGCAGAGTTCTGGCAGAACTTTGAAGAGGAAGAGGCAGCCGAGCCCCCAGCCTGAGGTACAGTCCACCGACTTCACACAGCTCCGGTTCTCCCAGTTATAGATCCATCGGATTCAATCGAGTTCAATCGAGCCCATAAGGAAGACAGAGAAAGATCCATGTCTGACCCGATCCAGTCTGACCCGGTCCAATCAGGGGTTTTTGGGTTTCAGGTGAAACTTATAGAAAACAAAAACAATTCCTGCTACAATGATTTTACATGACAGTGAAAATTTAAATATCCTGGTCTTCGCCTTCCTGATCTGTTCCACCTGATTCTCATTTGCCTTCTCAGACAGTCTGGGATTTCTCTCATTGACTCTGATTGTCTCCAGTCAATTTTCTACCGAGGCAATAAGTGAAGGACTCTGCCTGTCGTTTTATCAGAGGCAGGAGAGGAAGAGCAGGAAGCCGTTCGGTCCATGTTGGTCACGCTTTTAAATATTGAGCTTGATAACGGCGCCTCCTGCTGTTCCCCGATGACCTGACCTCAGTGAGCCGGAGCGCTGCGGTGGTCAGAACCGCGTCGCTCATGTAGTGACCGGGTTAATGTTGTTCTGGCAGTCTGGGTTGACCAGCGCTGGCTCCACATGATGGAGACCAAAGGAAGTCCACTTCTACGTCTTGCTGTGGCTCCGTGTCTGAGAACATCCTGTTTGACACTTCGCCATGAAGCGTTTGAAGATTTTATCTGAAAGTGTTGCAGATTGTTGTCCCATGAAAAACGTCTTTATTCATAAATTCTGCTTTGTTTAGGCCGCTGGCTCCGAGACGCCCAAGAAGAAAGGAGACTAGAAACCAAAAGAATCTCTGCAGGTACCAGACGGTTCTGCTGCAGGGATTAGTCTCCATCTGTTAATGACCTCTGACCTTATCATGGTTTCTTCTTCTTTCCTTTAAAGATGCTTTCCACATGTCACCGTTTCGTCATGTTCGACGTTTTACTCATCAATGAGAAAACTGCAGTAAAAAAAAATCAAACTTCTGTCCCAGATGTTTGAAAAATTGTAAATATTTTATGTAATTTTGATGATTCTGTATTTTAGTTCAATAAAATTATTGACAACCAGCAAATGTTAAATAGATTAAATATCCATCCATGTGTTTGTTTGCAGTTCATTTTATCACCAAAATTATTTTATATTAAAAATTTACAACCAAATGTTTGAATCGATTCTTTAAAGGAAATAAACTCATCAGGCATTTTATTTATTTCTACTTCAACTTTATTAAAAATATGATCAACGAAGCAGCAGAAAACACACACACACACACACACACCAAGACACACACACACACACACACACACACACAGCAGTCCATCCGCGTAACCATGGCAACCACAGACATGGTTGTTAAATGGCAACAAATGTTCAATAAAGAATCTCGGTTATTTAACAGAGTTCTGGTGTTTTCTGGTCGGTTCTGACAGCGGCGTATCGGATCAGAACCGCCAGAGTATCGGATCAGAACCATGAGGGGAAACGTTTGGAGCTTCAACAGGGAAACCTAAAAAAATAGAACCTCTGAGTTTAAAGAGCCTCTGATCGGGTCAGACGGCGCCGTTTCATAATTGATCCGTTTCATTCACACATCCGGATCTGACAGAACCACTCATTCATTCAGGGTTTAAACCTGACTTTAAACTCCTGCTGGTTCTGGTCCATTTGGGTCTCTTCTGATGCGTCAACGTTCTGATTTTATTTTGAAATCCTGCAGGAAGAAACTTCCTGTGACAGAAGGAAATTTAATCAACTCATCTCCAGGTTTTTCCGCCTCAGTTTGGAGTTTTCTGAACTTCCCGATGAGCTCAGAAGATCAGAACCGGAGTTCTGATGGGGTCGGGCCCGGCCTGGGACTCGGAGCGCTTCCTGTCCGGGTCACTGGCTGACGACGAGCTGCCGCAGGTAGGACTGGGTCAGGCCGCGCAGCTCCTCCAGAGCGTAGTCCTCCGGCATGGGCAGCCGGCTGATGTGCGGCGCCAGCTGGGCCAGCGGGATGCTGAGCGGGTCGGCGGCGCCGTCGCCCTGCTGCAGGCTCAGCACGACCCGCAGGATGTTCGCCACGCGCTTCGCCATCTCTGCAGGGGGGGGGGAAGAGGCGCAGCTAAGGTCAGCAGGAACGACCTGGAAACATCAGAGCCAGGTGAGCCGTGATTGGCCGGCTCCCGGCCCTCACCTGATTGGGCGAGGTGGTCCCTGGCGGTCCGGCAGGGCAGCAGCTCGATGCGGCTGCAGAGCGACGTCACGTCAGAGTAGAGCCGCTCCAGCTGGTAGCCGGCGCCGTCCGTCTGGGACAGCAGAACCATATTAGACCCAAACAATCCTTAACGGTTACCCCGGCAACGCACCACAGGTTATTATAGGTTAAAGTTGAATTAGTAAAAATCAGCAACAATTATTGAAACAACGTCAACTGATTTAATACCAGGTTAACAGAACTAAATCAGTTTAATAATTAAAGCCACACAGAAACTGAACAAAACATTTTGAATTGAGCATAAAGTTAAATATGACAGAGACCAACTGATTGATCAATCAATGAATCAATCAAGTCGTTATCAGCAGCTGTCGTCACTCAGAGTTTAACATCCTGGATGTTTTCAGTATTTTTTGCAGCTTTTAGTTTGTCTTTAAATGAACTTTATAAAGTTTACAAACTGATCCACATGAAGTCGATTCTGTTTACAGAACCGGTCCAGAACCAAACCGACCTGCTGGATGTCCTGCAGGGACTTGATGACCCGGATGTAGTCCAGGTAGACTCTGCCGGACGTGTCCCAGTCCTGGATGCTGGCGCTGTGTTCTGGTACCGCCAGGCCCTCCAGGAACTCCAGCAGGTAGTCGTGGTTGTCGTTGACGATGCAGTCTGCGGGAGAAACGGGTCGAGTCACGCGACGCGTGGTGAGCCGGTCGGGTCCGGCGTGCGGGGCGTACCTGAGGCCAGGTGTTGGATCAGCAGCCGGTGGCACTGGTTCCAGTGTCCGGCCCGGTACAGGTGCAGGGCCTGGCGGTGCCGGTCCCCGTCCCGCTGGGCCCGGACCGCCTTGGCCTCGTGGATCCAGCTCTCCGGAACCAGCAGCCTGTCGGTCAGGAAGCGCTCCCTGCGGGCCGACTCTTCCGTCTCCAGCAGGGGGCAGTGCAGCGCCAGCAGCTCCCTGACTGCGCGCTCCCGCTCCCTGCAGAGAAGAAGAAAGTCCATCCAGGAAACCGGTAACGCTTTAGACATGCAGCGTGTTTGTTGATCACATCTGGACCCTGAGGAACTCCGCATCTGATTTTATTCCACTTCCCTTTGGACACTAAAGGTTTCAGCGGAGCATTTTGGCAGAAATACCAGCCCAGTTTTCAGATCGGGATGGTACGAGCGGGTCTGGACCCGGTTCTGACCTGTGGTCGGGGACGTGCAGCAAGATGAAGACGGCCAGGTGCCAGAGGCCGGCGCTCTCCAGCTGGGCGGCGTAGGCGGAGTGGACGAGGCCCTGGCGCGGCGCGGCCAGGTGGGTGTAGCGCAGCGCCTGCAGCACGCCCCACAGGTGCCAGCTGAGCCGGTAGTCCAGGCGCTGCCAGGTGACGGTGAGCGGGTCCAGCAGCGGCTGCAGGCCGTACAATCTGCACGGGGAAACGGGTCAACAGAACCGGACCATTAAGAGAACAATCCAATGAGGTTTCCAGGCACAAATTTTATTTTTATAGCATAATCAGAAACTAGGATACCTTAAGTTTTCATAATAATATCAAATGTGACTTTATTTAAATTTCCTTATTTATTATTTAAGTAAATAATTTAAATATTTGAAATTGTGTCGCTGTCCCTTTAAGAATGCCGGCCCTTTCTGGAGGCAAAAGTCATGACTCCTCTATTAATCCTTTAACGTTTTTACCAGCGTTACTCTGAGCAGGAGCTCCTATAATGAGCTCAGCAGCTGTTTGCTCATTTTTGCTGGGTAATCTGAAGGGGCTCAGTGGGGGAGGAGCTTTGTATTTGAAGGCGGGGCTAAGTCCACCCGGGCGTTTTGGACAGCTACTTCCTGGTAACATAAGGACCCAGATTTGCCGCCTCAGCACTTCAATTAAAAACACATGCTATACATTTACCAATATAGGCATATTGCACATCTGGATATTGGGAAAAAGCTAATCTAAATGATAAAAACAATATTTTCTACCTCAACAACTCCCAGCTTCAACACTAAGCAGCTTGATAAACAACATTTAATTTGATGTCAACAAGGCTAAAGAGGCCGACCCGGTAAAACACGCAGCAATGACGGTGCAACATGGCCCAATGCACACAAACTACCACAGTAAAACCGAATATCTGCCATTTCAACAACACGAGAATCACCAGGCTACATGCAAAACTCACTGAACCAGCAGCTCAACAAGATCAAAAAGGAATAAAAGCTAATTTCACGAAGCTAAAAACATAAATTCAGTCCTGCCTTTGTTGTGTCAGGGTCATAATCCATGTCAGAGTAAATGTTTCCTCTCAGGTACTATAATCTGTTTTGGTGTCACACTGATGCAATTTCTCACTATTTTCAACTCAATGGATAATCGCCAATATACTCTAACGACTTCCTTTGTTAGCACAGCTGGAGCTTTCCAACTGTGATTGGTGAATAATGTTGCTATAAGATTTTGTAATTCCCCTGATTCTATTGGCTGTTAAATGCATCAATCACCCAAATCAACCAATGGGCTGCAGAAAATCTGTCCTGTGGGTTTGGTTTTCTGACTCAATGCTTCTGCAAACAGAGCACCCAGGACTTTGCTTTTTAGTAGCAATTCACTCTTATAGCGTTAAAAAAAAATACTATTAATTGCAAATAATATTTATAGCAAATCATTTTGGGAAAGTTTTTTTGGAGAACTCTCCATAAAGTTCACAAAAAAAGAGTCTGTGGTACGAACTCCAGGTCAAACAGATTAGGTGATCTGAGGAACACAGACGGGGTTTTAAATGATCGACTTTAAACTGTTTAGATGGAAAAGGTGGAACCAGGTTCTACTGACTGTTTGGTTCAGTGAGGTCAGTTGGAACCGGTTCTGGTGCCTCAGGTTTACCTGTCGCTGTAGAGCTTCAGCAGGTGGAAGCAAAGGTCGAGCATCGGCCGTTCAGGCTCCTCCTCCTCGTCTTCTTCTAGAGGTGGCGCCCCCTCCAGGTATGGTGGCAGCGGTGTGCAGGCGTATCTGCCGGCCTCTGTGGAGCCCTGCAGGGGGCAGCAGAACAATTAGGGCAGTTCTGACCCGGCAGAGAGGCAGGTCTGACTGGGACTCACCTGGAAAGCAGCTTCGTAGGCGGCCAGGGCGTCAGCCACGGAGGCGGTGGGCGGCAGCAGGTACCACAGGTGGACGGCCAGGCAGCGCTTCCAGTCCAACTCCGAGCAGACGTTCACCGCTGACCCGGACGACTGCCACACCTGCAGAGACAGAACCGTTCAGAACCAGAACCGAGCGGTGGGGAGGACGGCTCCGACCCGACGAAACCCACCGGTTTCCCAGCCAGCAGGGCAAAGATCCGCAGCCGCTCTTCGCTAAGATGGAGGTCAGTCTGCGTCCGGCTCCAGTCGGCCAGCTGCAGGTCTAAGAGCTGGCGGCAGAACCGCGACCCAGAGGCCTGTGACAGCAGCAGGGCCAGGCGGTGGTCGCCTAAACACACACATCACCACGGTGACACACACACATTAACCCATCACTGTTTACAACTCCAGTTTAATTTCACTATCAGGTTCTGCCGGTCCACTCACCTTCCCTCTGGGCAAGTTGGCAGGCCTCGCTGACGCGGCGCCCCGTCAGGTAGCTGAACACTGCCTCCGCGTGGCGGCCCTTCCCCGCCAGCGCCACCTCCTCCTCCACCCTGCGGGCGGCGCCGCGGGCCAGCCAGTCGGAAAAGGCGCAGTGGCGCTGCAGCTGCTGCTGGTAGTCGTCGAGGGGGCCGCCGTCTGGGTCCAGCTGGCCCCACAGGGCCTCGCACAGCGTCCAGACTTCGGCCCAGTGGCCCAGGACGGCTGCGGGACGGACAGGACAGGTCAGGGACAAAGCGCGGAGACGGACCGTCCCTCACCGAACCAGAACTCACGGTCAGCATCTCCGCGCTCTGCGCTCAGCTCCCTGATCCACTCGGCGTAGTCGTGCAGCGCCGCCACGCCGGGCCGCGGCTCCACCAGCGGACAGGATGCGCCCTGTGGGACGCTGACGGTGCTGTGCTTCAGGCTGATCTCCAGGGGGCGCTGCAGCACAGCATGCCGCTCCTCCTCCTCCTCTTCCTCACTCATCTTCATCCCCTGAGGAGCTTCCAGTCCCACCAGCTGCTCCACCACCACCTTGAAGGGGCTTTCAGCGAGACTGGAGACACACAGCTCAGGTTAACCTTTGACCTTAGAAAGAATCCTTTGAAATGTCCCCACTAAGCTGAACCTTTCCTCAATCAGGACCCTAAACGGCAGTTGATGGTTTAAAGAATGAAGTTTGTTCTGGCCTGTTGGGGGAACCTCAGGTTCTGACCTCAGGTTCTATGTCGTTCCAGGTCATAAAGTGGATTTTAGAACTCTGGGCTTTCTGTAAGCCGCCTAACCCACTGGGCCCGTTCAGGAGTTTTTCCTTACGGTTTGGTCCGGGCCGGTTTGTGCAGGAAGCTGAAGTCTGTCTTGGTGCGCCGCTCCTGGAGCTCCGTCTGGTCGGCGGACTGCGCGCTGAGTCGGCTGCCGCAGTGGGCCAGAGTCCAGCCGGGACCCCAGCCCACTCTGAAGGAGCGGGTGGCGAACAGGCCGGTGTCCATCAGCAGTGCCCCCTGCAGTACAGCAAAAGAACAGGCCGTTACTGCTTCCTGCTGAAGCGTCGCGGCTCAGTCGGTCATCCGGAACTGACCTTCCCCTGAGTGACGGACTCCTTCAGAGGGACGGGGCCGCCCAGTCGCCGCACCCCTACCGTCCTGATGGCGGGCTCCGGGGCCCGGGCCGGCAGCAGGAACGGGGCGGGGACAGGACTCTTCCACTGTGGAGGCCGAAGCGGGTCGGCTGCAGCCGGGGAGCCGCGGGACAGAGGAGAGTCCATACGCTGAGGGAAGATGCCGGAGGTGAAGCGGGTCTGAAGAAGACCCCCGACTGCAGAGAGAGGAAGGTCAAAAACAAGCAGGAAGGTCTTCATCAGCGCGAGGAAGAGTTTCCTACCAGATGGACGGCCTTCAGAGCTCGGCAGGATGAGCCGAGGGGACGAGACGTCGGCAGACACCTTGGTCGCTCTTTGAGGCTGGAACATGTCGCCGTCCTCCTCATCCTCAGTGAACAGAGACGCCTTCATGATCTGGAAACAGGAAGTAATCTGATTACTCAGACGGAAAATCTGATTACTCAGACGGAAAACTGTCAGCGTCGCCTCAGCTCCTCTTAATCTGAACCAACCATTTCTTCTGAACCACATCGAAACATTTGAAAGGAAACAAGATTGTGGTTCTTCAACCCACTCTACGTCTCTAAACAAGTCAGAAAATAGAAACAGATATAAAAACGAATTTTCAAGGAGAACAGTTCCTGTAAACAGCACACTTAGCTCCTTTCACAGGAATGTGGAGCCATTCTATCTAGTTAGCCCTTACAGGTTTTTGCAAAACTTTAAGTCAGGAGATCCCAGTACATTTTCACATTGATAACTGGGTTTCATCATCAGCCTGGCGGGCCTCCAGGCTTTACTAAGCCCCCCCAACAGGCTACACTTAGGTTTATAGTTGAAGTACCATCCCGTCCCTTCACGTGTCCGGCGGCCTCCGGCTGGTCTTTCCAAATTTTGATGAGAAACTCTGGAGTTTATTACAAATTTAAATGATAAACAGTCAGAATCATTGGATTCAAGTGATGCCAACTCCCACCTGCAGGTGGCAGCATTTCTCCTACTCCACTGCTGCAGCCTGACTTCATGTCCAGAAATAATCCATGAAAGGATGAATAAAGTCTGTCTGCCTGTTATTTTTCTCATCTTTTTATTTCTATATGTACATTTTGATCAGAAAAAAAATATTGAAAAATTTCTTGTAAATATTTCTCATGTAGCCTCAGTAAATCAGTGATAATCCGCGTGACAGAAACTGCAGTGCTAGCTTCGTTAATGAGACGGTTTTTATTTTCCGGGTCGCTGTGGTTCTCCTCTGGAGCGGCTCGGTGGTTCTACCTGCAGCGTGTGCGGGTTGATGCCCAGAGTGGACGGGATGTGGCTGCACGCCACCGGCTCATGGTTCGTCAGCGTCTCCATGTTGACCAGCGGCAGCTCGCCGTCCTCCTCCTCTCCTCCCAGCATGCTCTCTGTTGGGATGCCCTGCGTGATGTCGGCCATGTCGCTGTCCAGCTCCGCCACGCCGCTCGCTAAATCCACGGCGGTGGACTGGAGACAGAGAGAGAGCATGAGGCAGGTCAATCAGCTGATTGGAATAAACCTGAACACATTTTTATTAATATGTCAGATACAAAAATACAAGAAAATCTAAATTATTACATCTTAATGGTTCTGAAGGCAACTGGTGGAGAAAAGCTCTGATCAAAACAAACAATACTAGTAATAATAATAATGAATGTGAATTTGATTCTTCCAGTTTAAATGATTTTATTACCAGATTAAGTGAGAAAATCTGATCAATGTGTGAGTGAGGAACAGGAGGAGTGTGGCGGGGGGGCACAGGCTGCTCTACCTGGGCCAGCGGCGCCACCTGCTGCTGGGATGGAGGAAGCAGCTGCTGCAGCCTGGAAGCAGGAAGTGACATCATCGTCTTCAGCTTCTTGGGGTCGGTTTTGGGCGGGACCTCGTCGTCTTCGTCTGAGTCCTGGAGGCCGTATTTGGAGAAATGGCTGACCTGGAGGAGAAAGGGGGCGGAGTCAGATTCCCTGATGACCTGCATGTTCTGTTGGGTTGGATGTGACCAGACCTACCTCGAACACCCAGGAGCCGGTCTCGGGTCGGTATTCCAGGAAGCGCGCGCCCTGCTTCCTGGAGGCCTTCTCCAGCCGGCCCTCGTAGTTCATGTCGGTGAGTCTCTCTGGGCTGCGGATCTGAGCGCAGGTCGTCTTATCGTTGGGCCAGACGCCGTCCAGGGTCACTTCAGCCCGCCTGCAGACAGGAAGCAGGGTCAGGACGGGAAACACCACCATACAGACTGGACCGGGCCAGACCAGACTGACTGTCACTGTCAGACTGATTAGTTACATCAAGTCCATTTATCATTTCGGCTTTAAACGATCCGATTATTTAATCAGATCGTTTACAGAAGCTCCATGAATGAGCTTCTGTAAAGATTAACGGATAGAAAAACATTTCTATCTACAAAGAGACCGACGGAGAACCTGAGTTCTCAGAGAAATAGCACCTCATCAGACAGAAAGGTTGCATTGGGCACCGGTACGGATACAACGCCAGAGCATCTGCGGTGGCGAGCGGGCGGCTGTGCTGGAAGCCCTGCGTTCGCCAGTAGGTCGGAGCGGCGCTGAGCTGCTTGCAGCTTTAATTCTATTCGTCACCTGTTACTGGCCTTAGTCTGAGCTAATTTATTACCTTTTATAGCCACATGGAAACCTTGTAAAAATAAACAATTAGATTGTTTCTTTGAGTTCTGATGGTTTAGTCAATAATTTAGCTGTAAAAGGGGTTATTTTGTCAGTAATGTGATTAATTAATGATAGAAATTAACAAATATTTAATGCAGTCCCACCTCCAGTACTGAAAAGTAAATCATGAGGAATCAACAGAAACCTTCAGTCTGTTGGAGTTCAAGTGTTAGTGGAAGAGCAGGATATCTTTTTCCTACATTTGTTTCTGGATTTATTTGGAAAAGCTTCATAAATAGTCAAATTTAGGCTCCGCCTCACCGGTTAAGCCCCTCCCCCTCCGGCGGCTTGTTCTTGTCGTCCGGGTAAACGATGACCTCTTTGCGCCTGAAGTGGACGATCTCATCCAGGTTCAGGCCTGTCAGGTTGACCTCTCCGGGGAAGAAGACGGAGCCGTAGCCTTCAAGGACCAATCAGCATCCAGCTGAGAGTCAGTCGACCAATGGGATTCATTCAGGAATATTTCAGCTGGGATTATTAGGGCGCTACCTTTCCTGCCCACGGTGAAGTTCTCCACGACGCATTCTCCGTTCTCGTCCAACATCTCGGCCAAGTCGTCCAGAGGGGGGATGGTGTAGTAACCCACCCGGTTCAGAACGATACCTGGAAGCACGGCACATGCTTAGCCCCGCCCACCCAGCAGAGGGGCTGATGGGAAACGCAGTCACAGGGACGAGCTCTGACCTGCAGGGTGAGGAGACGGTTTGGACTCCTGCTGGTCCTCCTCTTCTCTGTCCTCCTGCAGAGAGTCCTCACCGAAGGACGCAGAGACGTCTTCGCTGCTCAGCTGCAGGAACGATAAAGGCAGATCTATTCACTCTAACTGTGTGCTTCCTGCTCTGAGCGACATCATTCTGCTGCAGTTATCAAATAAATCTGGAATTTGTGACTTTTATGTTAAAAAAAGGACAGTTTTAAGTCACTCGGCTGTTCTTTTGTATCAGCCGATACTAAAGCTCATGTATGAGAAGTGAAACAGTGGATCGGATCATCTCTAATCTAAACATCTGGAGATGGTGAAAATAAACCAGACGATCCTCTCAGAGCTTCTCACGTTAATCAGGAGATGATCTTTGTGTCCATCAGATCTGATCTAACGTGTGGAGCTCGGCCTGGTAACAGTGAACAAGCAGAACGGCGTGACCTGCTGACCTCCAGGCCGTTCCTGGGCTGCTTGTGCATGTTCAGATCGCTGATGGTGTCCTGCAGGCTGGGCTGGGCGCGGCCCTGCGGGATGGGCTTGGCGATGGGGTTCACGTAGAACTGGGTGACCTCGGGGTCGTCGTCGGCTCGGCCGCTCACACCTGGAACCTCCCTGAGCTCGTCGTCCTCCGCTTGGCTGCAGGAAGAGCAGAACGTTAACAGAACCGATTCATTTTCAGCCGTGATGCAGCCGCGACCCGCTGTGGTTCAATGGCGGTTCTGATCACAGGCTCAAGTTGAAGGAAAAAAAAAAAACACACAAAGTGTCTGAAATTAATCCAGATAAAATGGCTGGAAGGTGGTGAAATGTTGAGTTTAAGATGTTCAGCTGAGCTAAAACATTTAGAATTTAGACTTCATCATCTCATGTTGAGACTGAAGCTCTTCAGCTGTTTGAACGGAAGCTGTGGGTCGGGCCGGTACCTGTGTCCGTTCTGAGGGTACTCTGACGGTGAGGCCAGGTCGTCGCTGTCTTTGTTCAGGCTGCTGCTGCTGTACTGGCTGCTGCTCAGGTTCTTCAGAACCAGCTTCTTGATGCTCTTCCTGCGCAGACACAACAGAACCGCGTGAGACGAGCGGGTCCGACCGGCTGTGCTCCCAGTTACCATTGCGACCAGAAGCCACCTGGGCACGAAGGCTCCGTTGGTGAGCGACGGCTCGTCGTCGTCCAGACCGTCAAAGAGCTGCGACTTGGAGGCGCCGGACGACGTGAGCGCTTTGGGCCGGACCTTGGTGGCAGGTCGCGGGGTCAGCTTGTAGTGGGTGGGTGTAGTCAACGCCTTCTGGGCCGTTGGATTGGTCGGCTTCAGACGCTGCAACCAGAAATCAGACCAAATATAAGCGTGAAGTGGTGGTCTTGGCGACCATGACGCCGCTGCCGCCACTCGCCTCCTCCTTCTTCTTGGGGTCGCTCAGCGGGTTCCTGAAGAGCGGAGAGTCGCCGTACGGAGAGTAGGTAAGCACGTTGAGCTGCTGCTGCAGTATGGCCTGCTGGGCGGCGTTAGCGTTCGGGTCTGTCAGCGCTGAAACAGAAAAACGGATCTATAGAACGTGTGGACGGCTGGGAAAACGGGTCGGATCGGGAACCGGCGGCTCACCGACGGGCTGCTGCGTGGCCCCGAAGCCCAGGCTGCTGCCGCTGCTGAAGCCGCTGGTGCCGAAGCCTCCCAGGGTTCCCGACGCCGTGCCCAGCTTGTTCTGGGTGTTTCCAAACAGAGTGGTCCCGGTTCCGACTGCGGGACAAACAGCACAGATCAGCTGCACTGACCCAATCAGAACATCGCAATATTCAATCAGCAAATGGTCCACAGCAGTTCTGCTCCTGGTTGGTACCCGTCGGAAAGTTGGTTCCTAGTCCGGTTCCCAGTCCACCAGTGGCCAGTTTGTTACTAAAGAGTCCTCCTCCAGCCGGGTTCGCTCCAAAACCTGGAGGCAGAGACAGGGAATTAGGAGGAGGAAGGAACCGGAGCGGGTCGGCAGAACCCGGGACGCTCACCGAAAGTGGAGGTGTTGGTTCCGGTCCCCAGAGTCAGAGCGGGCTTGTTCCCAAAGAGTCCGGTGTTGGTGCCAAATGACGAAGCACTGGTAGTGGTGGTTCCGAACCCGGTGGTTTTGTTCCCGAACAGACTGGGCTGGAAGAGGACAGAAACGGCAGGAAAGAGACGGATCTGAGTACATAGATCTATGTCAACGAAACACAACATGGTGTCCGCGGTTCGTCTGTACTACAGTTTATGATCATTGCTTTGTAGTTTCACTGTTTTTTGACCGTATTTATTGAGTAAGTTTGTGGTTAAATCGTTCTGTTTGTTTTCAAATCAGGATTAATTTAACATTTTCCAGGAACAACAGATGAAAAAAATTACGTGTCTAATTGACAAATTCAGAAATAATTCATGTAGGTTGTTCCTACCAAATAAATTAAATCTTACTCCCTATTTGTATTCTGGCAGCGCTTGGCTCTGCGTTTGTCCTGCAGCTTGATTAAGTTCATGTAAATGAACAACAACAGCAGTAATTAGATGTTTTCATCCACATTATTTGTTGCAAACAGTCCGGCTTCGATAAACAACAACCAATCACAACCAGCAAAGAATTACTAATCAAAGACTTAGACTAGTACTTTATTGATCCCTTGGGAAGACTCCCTCAGGAAATTGAAGAATTAAGGAAAATATGAGAAAACTCAATCCCTGAGTAGATTTATAATATTCAGAGAAGCATACCAATATGCTGACTCATCATTGTCCACTTCAAGTTAGACTTATTTTGTTTTGAAATGTGACCAGCATTACAGTTTTAAAATCCACTGGCCAATGAATAAATTAGGATTTAACGGAAGTGTAAAAAATGCTTTAATATTTTATTGTCTTTTTAGACAATATTTGGTGTTTAATTTGGTCACCAACATCAGAATCAGCTCATTCATCCTCTTGAATTGAAAGCGTTTTTGGGTCGTGTCCCGTACCTGTGTGCCAACGGTTCCAAAGCCAGCGCTTGGCTGGCCAAACATCCCAGAACTGGTCCCAAAGCCGGTGGCGGTGCTGGTCTGGGTGGGTCCGAACAATCCGCCCGGCTGAGAGGCCACCGTGCTGCCAAACAAACCCTGGGGAGACGGCCACAGGTCAAAGGTTGAACAGAGTAAGGCAGTGAAGGCGTGCTGGAAGCTGAGCTCTCACCATGGTGCTGGTGTTGGGCTGGCCCATGGTGTTGGTGTTGCCAAAGTTAAAGCTCTGGGTGGTGGTGGTGGCGCCGAACGGCTTGAAGAGGCTGTTGGCCTGCTGCTGGTTCTGCTGGCCAAACAGGCTGTTGGTACTGGTTCCGAAGGATCCGGTGGCTGTGAGGAGACAGAGGCAGGTGGTGTCGTTGGACTGAACCATTTTCTAAACAGAACCAGAAACCCGTCGAGGACTCACCGGGTCCAAAAGTTGATTTATTGGCCCCGAAGTTGAAGTTGGAGTTGGAGGCGGTGGCACCGAAGAGTCCGGTAGAGGCGCTGGAGGTGGGGGTGGCCCCGCTAAACAGGCTGCCGGCGCCGGGCGCCATGGGGTTGGTGGGGCCCTTCCTGCCCGCCTGGTAGTCCTCCAGCCTCAGCTCCTGCACACGATGGAGACCAGGAGAAAACTCGGGAAATTATCACGACAGCGATGCAACAGGATTCATCAGAACCGCCAGCAGAACAAGATCAGTTATCCAGAGCGGCGCTGATCCAGAATCAGCAGATCCAACTCAGAAACTGTCCTGGTCTGAATGCAACAAATCAGTTTCTCTGATCATCATCAGTCCACTTCCTGCTGTGCTTTCTCTCCAGAATCACATCGATGCAGAACCAAAACTCTGACTTAAAATTACTGTAATTTCCGGACTATAGAACACACCTGATTATAAGCCTCACCCAGTACATTTTTAAAAGAAAAAACATTTTGTACATTCATAAGCCGCACCTGTCTATAAGCCGCATGTGCCAACACGAAAGACGGTACACAGAAAGAGTTTTCAAAGTTTTAATAATATACTTTTCTTTCCAAACAGTGCCTGTGACAGCGCAGCAACACAGTAGACAGAGTCGTCTTCATCTTCCTCCTGTGCACTGAAATCATGGAAGTCTTTCTCCTCAGTGTCGGATTGAAATAGTGTCAGATATTCTTCGCCACACTCTCTTTCAGTCTCTCCTTCATTGTTCTTTATCAGCCAGCTCAATTGCTTTTAACTTGTAAGCTATGTCATATGAACTTCTTGTATTTTCCATGATGAGGGTCTGTTCATGCTAATTTTATTTATGCATAAAACACGAAGTTACATTAAACTTGCGTCTTCCTCGACACATATATTCCACCTGTTTCACTCTGACCTTTTCTGCTCCAGCGACCATGGCGGCCGTTAGAAAAAAAATGCATAAATTAACCGCACCATTGCATAAACCGCAGGGTTGAAAGCGTGTGACAAAAGCCGTGGCTTATAGTCCGGAAATTACGGTAAACTGATTTCATAACAAACTGCAGCCATTTTTCGAGAGCATCAACTGTTACACACAAACCTCCAGAGACTTGTTCTCGTACTCCTTCATGGCGGTGATGCACTGGTGTTTGGTGTTGATGCTTGTGGTCACGCCGGCTTTCACCATCGTGTCACTTCCTGTTGGAGGCTGCACAGATTTCAGACAGAGGGCAAAACTGTTACCATGGCGCCAAGCGGCCATTTTACCTTCTGCCCTGATCTAAAACATGAAAGTAATCAGAAACTGGAGCAGGGTCACGATGAGGCGCTTCCTGCTGGCCCCGCCCTGCTATCAACTCCACCTCCTGAACACTCACATTGAATTTCACTGTGGTTCCTGGCTGCTGATTGGCTGCAAAGCCAGAGCCTCCGAACAGCGAGCTGGAAGCGCCGAACGGGTTGGTGGTGGTGTTGGTGGAACCAAACAGGCCGCCGCTGCTGGTGCTGGTCCCAAAGCCTGAGAGAAGAGTCTCCATCAGAACCCGTTAAAACCCACCCGCCGCCACGCCGAAGGACACTCACTGCTGAAGGAAGTGGGCTTGTTGGCGCCGAACGCATTGCTCTGCTGGGAGAAGAGACCGCCGCTGGTTCCGGTCCCAGTGTTTCCAAACAGGCTGGTGGAAGTCCCGGTGGCGCCACCGAACCCGAACCCGGTGCTGGTGGAGGAAGTTGCCGGCTGGCTGAAAGTGCTGGACCCAAACAGACCACCTGAGGGAGCGGGACCAAAACCACAGCCAGGTTAAACCAACTCGACCCAGTTTGTGTCTGTCAGAGCCGAGACACAAACTCAAGCTGATCTGAGGATTCACAACCAGATCAGGAATCCTCAAGTTTTTATTTTGCATTATAGTTCATTTTTGATATTGTACAAAAAGGCTTCAGTGGCTAAATAAAAATCTGCAGACTGTGGAGTTTTTGTATTTGATTAATTGTTTAATCAAGAGAGTGACCCGAATAATCATCAAGCTCTAAGTTGATAAAATGGACTCAAATTACATTATTGAATTTAATTTCAGATTTTTGGGAAACCAGTTAAGATGAAGCTGATTTTTAAAAATGTCAAGATTCACAATTAGAAATGAATTATAAACTTAATTTATTTCAGCAGTTTCTAAACTACAAAATCTTTGCTGCTGTAATTTTGATAACTGCTTTCAGTTTCCGTATTTTGTGTTTCTATGAATTAAATGAACGGTGAGCTTCAAAAATCTCTGAAGTATAAGATTTTCCAGAAACATTCAGACATCCAATTTTCTCTTTAAAACACTAATATCTCCTGAACGGTCAAACACACTCAGGTTCTACTTCAGGTTCTGGCCGAACTCAGAAGCAAAGAGAAAGACGGAGGAACCAACCAGGTTTGTTCTGCGTGGAGCCAAACAATCCTCCGGTGTTTGTGGTCGCCCCAAACGCCGACGTCCCAAAACCTCCTGCTGCACCGAAACCCGTGTCTGTTTAGAGAGGAAGAGGGCAGAGGAGAACATCCCGATAAAACCTGACACGTCCCGATAAAACTTGACACATCCAGATAAAACCTGAAGCATCCCGATAAATCGGAACATCAGCGTTCAGGTCTGGACTTAAAAACACCTTGATGTTATTGTGTCACCTAAGAAACAGCAGAAAGCTACATGGTTCCTGTGGAAACCCAGAGCTGCAGCATGTTAAGCAGGATTTAGCGCCACCTTCTGGTAGAGGGAGAGTTGTAGCTGCTGTTAATGAACTCAGCAGAAAACAGCTGCTTACTTATTAATAACCAGCAGGAAAGGAAGAGAGGAGCTGATATTATCAATAATAACATGATCTGGAGGAAACCAGTCAATAATGAGGTTCAGACACTCCATGTCCGTGATCCAATCAGGACGATCTAATGTGGGCCGCTGTTGGTTTGAGCTAATCAGAGAAAGCAAACTTACTTTGCTGGCCAAAGGCAGAAGAGGTGCCGAAGCCCCCCGTCCCACCGCCAAACGGAGTCCCAAACGAATTGTTGAACATCCTGACCTTCTAGCAGGACCTCATAGATCTTCTGCAGAGACAAACATCAAAACGCAACATTCATACTCAAATCAAACGTTACAAATTGTTTTAGAATAAAAACATCTCCAGGAGCCGGATTATCCCGTTACAACTGGTTAGGCTGACCTGATGGTCCAATATGGCCGCTCCTCGCATCAACAGAAGAGCAGTCGTATAAATAAATATATATTTATATGAGAATAAAGAATTTCTCAAACATTCGCAAAAAAAAAATCAAACAAACAATCCAGGAATGTTTGTGATGAGGTTAAAACATAAAATATAACATTCAAAACAAGTCAATTTTATACAAGACCCACTTCAAGGGAACATTTTGTTTAGAAAGATAATACTTTGTTTTATTTATGGTTTGGTTTTGCGTTATCATTTATCAATATTGGTTGTTCTGTTTTATTTTTAATATTGAAAATATCTTCCAGTTCCACTCCTATCGTAGCGGAATTAAAGTTTGTTGGTATTTGACAGGACAACCTTCATCATTATCAACATATCACTTGAAATGTTCCCAGAAACAACTATTTTAAAGTTTATCACAATAATTACAGTTTATCATCATGACAGGCCACTTTACAACCGACTGGAGACTCAAACACATAAAAATATTCCTCCAATAATGCGCAGCATTATATAATAATTTCTGACTCGGGCTCTGAAGCTCAGGAACACTTCTTGGCTGGAAAACAAGTGTTTGTGATGAATGTTCTGGATGGGCCTCCACTGTCCCGGAACAACCAGGAACCCGACTCGGATTTCTGTGCTTTGCAGAGACCAGTCAGCATCATTATCAAGATGTTTTGAGCTGAAGTGAAACCAACAAGGCAAAGTTCACCAAAAAGTCCAGAAAAAGTATTTAAAATGATAAAAGAACCTCTGATGTAAGAAATAAATATGATGGACTTGCATCAGAAAAATCTGCAGCTCCTTCGGGGATGGAGGATCAATAATGTCGGCCGATAACTTCCTCCAGCTCCAGATGCGACTCTACGGACTGAATTGTCAGCTTTTGTTCGCTCTTTGGAGCAGAAACTAACCTCAGTTGCTGATATGTTTTGACTAGTAGTCAACTAGTTGCAGCTGGGTGAGACCGGATCAGCTAATGTAGCTGTAGCTCATCAACACGTTTGGTATGCCCGCCACCTCTCACTTCAGCTCAGAAATGACTATTTCAGTAATCTCTTATCGCCACAAAAAGAGACTAATGGCGCCCTTACATATAACGCTACTGCTGCTTCTTGGCTTTAAAGGTGCGACACACTTTAAAACTAAACGCGCTACGATACGTTAGCTAACCAGCTCAATGCTAACTGCGTTAGCAACACGGGAGCGAGTAAAATGTAGGAATACAACTAATGTTTGGCTAATAGTTACCTGTGCCGAACGCGCCGCGACAGTTCGGTCTGCCGGCCGAACCTCCTCCGGCAGAGACTGTGATGTGGAGTGAGGGGAGCTCTCCGTCAGAACTTTGGGTCTCTAAACACCTAGTAGCGGCTAGCTCCGTCAACGAGGAGGGAAAACGGCTCAGCGGACGTTGCTACGCACTTTCATACGCGATGACGTCGACGGAGCGGTTTTGTGATTACGAAAACGAGAACGCTAAGAAGATAGATTTCGCCGTAATATTATTTTCAGAACAATAGTTGGTTGCGAAGCAAATAATTTTTTTCCCCTAATAACGCTTATTTTTTATGTTTTGAAGAAGATGCTATTCTTCGGTATGCTGATGACGTCCTCTGTATTCTCTTCAGCGACGGTTCTAGAACAAATGTGTCAGGGGGCCATTTTAGGCCCCTGAAGTTTATCAGGGCGGGCTAGAGTTTTTCATAAGGGCAAAGAACAACAAAATGAAATGAATAGGACATTAAAATGTGGGCTCTTTTTTCACTTTATTTGGCAGGTTTTTAGGAAGTGTTGATTGGAAAATATTTGTAAAAGGGTTGCCACCGTGCTGCAGAAAAGCCCCAAGGTTGTATATTTGAATAAAAATGCCATGTCCTTGCAAGGATTTCACAGTATTTGATTTATTTTGAAATGTCTGTCAAGCATGACATCAACACTGATTAACAGTCATTGTTGATCAAGTGTTATTGTGGTCAATAGTTCAACATAATGACACTTAGGATCAAGTGTCATGTTTAAGTTATGTTTGAAACAGAAATCAAACAGAACTTAAACTAACATTTATTTTCTATTTGTTTGAAATAGAAACAAATAGAAATTATTTGTGTCTATTAGGACATTTGAATAAAGTCCTAAAGGACTTTAGACTTTGAATTTGAACTTCTTTTAGAAGTGACAGCTTTAACAAATATCCATCCATTTTCTGTTCACCCTGTAAACCCTATTTACTTATTTTCTATGCGAATATGAAAACCTGATGATGTTTCTTCCTCAGTGAGATTCAGACACTGGGAGAAGGTTACTGGTTTCTCGGTCAGAAGCTGGTTGCAAACCTGAGGCCAGCAGCTGTCAGTCAGTTCTGGTAGATCTGAACTTTGGTTTGATGACGTCAAGATGAGAAACTGCAGACTGATAGGAGGAACCAAAGAGCTCTGCAGAGGTAAAGGCAAATCTTCTGGATCTGGCATATAATTAATTTAATTTCACATAATTATTGCGGTAGAAGCCATTTGTTTGTTAAAACTTAATCAAATATATTTGCCCTATTTGATGTTTGTTGTGACACTTTTGCTGCAAACCAACGAGGTAATTAGTCCAAGTTTGTCGTTTATTGAACGTTCAGAAACTGCAGTGGCTGTGATGAACCACAGCGAAAGTAAACAAAGATAAAATAACCCGAATAGGTGACCTTAATTTGAAACTGATCACTTTCAGTGGAAAAATTAATAAATGTCAATAAAGATTTTGTACGAATTTGAAATACTGTCGCATAATAAAAACACATGGCTCAAGAAAATGCAATATTTTAAAATAACACCTATTCGGGTTATTTTATCTTTTCTAGTCAAAGTGAAGAATCTCAGAAAACAATTTTTCAGAAGTTGTCAGAAGAAATTGATAGAATTTCTATCAATAGAATAGGGTATTAGTCCCACCTTTAGCCTCTTTTAAAGAGGCAGAGAGAGTTTGAGCTCAGATCAGCTAGAGATTGGAATATATGCCAAACAAATTAAAAGTTATTGCTTTTGAAATTTGAATCATTCATTATGAGCCTCTGCTTTGAAATTTTTATTGATAAAGTAATCAGGACAAAAGGGAATTATTCTACAGTGAACAGCTTTTCAAAAACAACCAGTCATCTGATAAAGTTTTATTTTGCAAACCCCCCCAAAAGGATCACATTAAAGCTATTTTGGCAATAGGAACAACTTAGATGGGATCATTTAAAAGCTTCATTAAAGCACAATTCCTGAAATGATAATTTATATAGAAAAAAAAGAAGATATTTCAGAATTCTTCATTCTTAAATACATGTTAAGATCTTGTCTATCCACATTAACTAAAGACTTGGTGGTGTCTCAAGTACAATATCAATACAACACCACAGCCAAATGCCATTTACATTTACACAGTCAGGTATCCCAGACAAATATGATGTCCTGGTCCGAAACTCTCAGGTGAATGGTTCATTTGAGAGTTTCCATCTACAAAACAGATAGTGTAATAGAACAGGTCTGATGGTCTGATCTCTTAGGCCATAAATTAAAGAAGTCAAACATCTGGGTAAGACAATAAAAATCACGTAAAAAACCTCCTGGACCCATACAAACACTAACCTTCGTACAGTCTTTGCAAGAGCTAAGAGCAGTGGGTAGTAAAGGGTATAAGACAGACTGAGGAAGAGCTGGACCAGGTGCAGCAGAATTGTCTTACGAGCTTTCAGGGCAGATGCTTTATCTGTAGATGCTGACTTGGCTGCTATTACAACTCCAGTGTACGAGGAAATTACAGTCAAACCGGCTGAAACAAGTACCACAGCGTTGTACGCTCTGTCATAATTATCACACAGTGAATTTGGAAACCAGCCCACATCAGTGCAATAGTCTTGCATCAAGACACTCCCAAAGTTTTCATATGAATATTCTATCAAAAACATATTTCTTGTGATATTATTTAGTGAACTGACAGCCCAGGCTACAATAATGGCCACTACTGTGTTTTTGGTGGTGATAATGGAAGCGTGCCTCAGTGGGTAGCAAACAGCCACATATCTCTCCAAAGACATTATCACCAGTGTCAGAGGAGAAATTCCTGCTGTGAGATTGGCCATAGTAGTGATGGTACCACAAACGGCATATGTTATTCTAACTCGACCAAGAGCGAGAAGAAACAGAACCTGAGTCACGGCCAGCTGAGCAGTGTCTGCAACGAGGAGGTTATATAGAAGAATATAACGACAAGTGTATCGAAACACAGGTTTACTCCTCAAAGAGAACATCAAGATCCCATTAATGAGGAGGAAGAAACACGCGGGACCTGTAGAGAGAAAGGTAAGTACAATTCTTTCCAGTAAACCCTGATACTGCTGTTCAATAGTGACGTTAAATGGGGAAGAAGACATTGCAGCATGTCAAAAATATACCTGTTGTCGATGCTGAAAAACTGAAGTAAATGTTAAGATAAAACAGCAGTAAAAAGGAGACATTAACATACAAAGACAGTGCAAAGTGGGCAGATTGGACTCTGTACGTGTTGCCGTGGGGGCAGAGGTGGTCTGCAGGGTTTCACTGGATCCACACGTGTTTTATGAGCTTTTTCCTGCAACCTGCTCACGTGGTAGATCACATGTCTCACATTAGTGGATCACCATGAAGTGATGTAATTTCCTTTCCACTGTTTTTCATACACAGAATGGCTCGAATAAACATTTAAACATATCAAATTTATGTTAAGACAATATTCTGCTTTTTAAAAAATTACTGGAAAATTAACTGGTAACCTAATCAGCAGTTTTGATAACTCACTGGATGTTGTGGTGTTGCTGTGACACACTGAGATGCTATTTGTGAGAATGCTCTCCACTAACACTCTGCAGGCCACCATGAGGGGTCGGCGGCCCACTCAAGCCTTCTCAAGCACTCCAATGAAGTGCAGCTTCTTTTGGGGCTTTCTCAGTGTTATTGCACTGTTGACTGACCAGCTCAGATCCAAGGTTATGTTGAAGACCCAGGAATTTCCAAGTGTTAACAACTTGAAAATCACATTTTTGCTCTAACACCTCCTGGCTCTGATTGGTTGTTTCTGAACCTGACAGGTGTGCTTCTGCCAATGACAGTAGGACTGGGTAGAGGCAGAGGAGCTCTTATTTTCAGATTCTGTCTTACGTTATACTGTTACACATGGAGGCAGTTTTAAAATTATTTAAAAAAACATATTGTTTATAAATCACCAACTGAAACTTTAAATGTACTTTTCATCAAGCCCACATTATGTATCATGTTTTTATTGATCTGATGTCACATTCTCATTGAAAACATGCATTTATTTGCAAGAGCTTGAGGAAAAATTTAAATTTGCACAAAGGTTTAAACATGAGTTTGTGTAAATAATATATAGTGTTTCACTTAGCAAAGTTAGCTTGTAAAACTTTTCTATAAAACGATAAACTTAATAACACTGTTATTAAAATTTGGCGGCCTCATACACCCATCAGACTTTTGTTTCCCCACCAAACAAATGCCTTTTAATCAGACAGATTTATTTATTTCAAGGAAAACCCCTTGAGATGTACCATGTTTGTCACTAAATGTCGACCAAGTCGAGTTTATTTGTACGATAAAAACATAATACAGTAATGAACAGCTCATTTTGTCAAATGTCATCATCAAATTGATCAATAATAATAATCAAACATCAAATTTATTGACCGGTGGTCCAGTTATTAATCAAAGGCAGCACTACACATATGTGACTTTAGCCTTGATTTAAACAACCTTAGTGTTTTGGCTGCTTTGCAGTTTTATGGAGACCAAAAACTCCTGCATGACTTGGCACATAAACGCTTATCTCATGCTGCTCAAGTTTTCTGCTGATTCCATGATAATCAAAATTTTTATGTTTCAAATTCAATTTCAAACAGCATTTTCAGCCACATACAGAAATAATTTAGGTAAAAACTCAATTAAAAAAGATGGCCATTTAGCTTTATGAACATATTTTAATTATATTTTTAAGTATATTGAGAAAACAGTAACAACATAGCACAAGTAACAACGCAAACATTAAAAAAGGCAACGATTTAATTTAGATCAGCAAAGCTAAACGTGTAAACAACTTGTACATTTTTTAATTGCTGTATTAAACTTGCACATTTTTTAGATCTTCTGGAATACAATCAATCAAATTTAGTTTGTGTAGCACCTCTCAGCAACAAGGCACTTCAAATGCTTTACATCACAAAAATACAAAATCATGAAACACACGGTCAACATTTTGCACATCAGATGATCAATTCATATTTTATCATTAGGTTTAAAAAAAACTCTACACAGCTGTATTTCTAATCTAGAAACAAAGTCCCATAACTTAAGAAAAAAAAATGTGCTGAGTGGAAAAACTACTAGCCACTGATTTTGACTTTAA